CTGGTTAAAATATAGAAAACCACCAAGATCTAAAAAAGTGTACGGTAAAAATGTGGCTTAAAACTGAATAAAAAAGTCAATTCATGACAGCTTCTGGCAGACAACCACAATGCTGACACATGCACAAAGGAGATATGACACCATTGACAGGCGACGGGTGAAATGCACCATTACCGGAATAAAATGACAGATTTCTCTGAGTTTAAACAGTGTTGGAGGTATTTGGGATAAGTCAACAAAATATATAACATAGGTCTTGTGTTTGTTGACATTTAATGTAGAAATGTTACATATTATAGCTAAGCTCAGGTTACAAGTTAGCCCCAGGTTAGGAGGTTTGAGTGACCCATGAGTCTCAATGCTTAGTGACATCTGATTTGTCAGCAGATGGTGGCATACTTGTCAAGAGTTGAACACAAGACAAAACCACAGCAGGGCCACATATTTTACATAGGTTGATTCTGCAGCTCCAAAGAGTGGATCATCCGTCCATCCTCACCCCAGGCAAGAGGCTCTTGCAGGTTTATTTGCTCTTTTCATTTCATACCCTACTGCTGGTGCTACACATTTAAATGTAATTCTGCCTTACACACATGCATACATGAGTAGGCATCAGTGAACAATAATTAAGCACCGCACTACTTGATGCTGAATTACTAGCGTTGTGCCCCCTCAGTAAAGTCATGCAAGGATGCAAAATGAGTCAGTGATTATCTAATGAAAGCACACAAGTGAGTAGGCATCCATAGAAACCAATTCACATTTAGTTCATAATGATGATCCAAATATGGTAATGATTAACTAATGAAGCTGTAATTACAAAAAACAGTTATTATTATAATTCACTGTAACCTCATAGTTCAGATCATTCAGTTCAGAACTTTATGCCGAAGTTTACCACTATCTTTCATCTCAATATAAGAAACTTATCCAAGAATATATCATGTCTGGATCTTAAATTGTCCATTGTAGCTCTAACTGAAACATGGCTACATGAGTCTGGTATAAAGCCATTCACTGAATAATGGGAGTCAGAACTGGAGGAGGTATATCTTCATCCACTTACACCAGCAGTGGGGGACTCAGGCTGTCTTTGGGACAGGGGTCATCGGTGGACCACCAGCAAGCAGCTAAATTCTTTTTTGAGCATGTATCTACATGCCACTGCATCCCATCAGGACATGACGTAAGATTACCTCTGACGACAAACCGGCAAGCACTGGTGGTGATTGCCACCCCTGCCTACATGTGGCCCAATGTGCATCAAAACATGATACACTGCCCTCTAGGGTGCCCTTTCAGTGCAACACGTTCTCACTCCCAAACCCAAACCCATACCAATACGACTTTGTTAGGTATGATTTTAAGGGGTGAAAGAAATATATATTTAAAGAGACATACAGAGTGTCTCTGCATTTCATTCATTTCTCTGAAGAAAACTAAATGAAATTATTTTTAATGTTCAGATCATTATTTAAGATCTAAACTTTGAAGACGAGCTATATTTACAGAGCCTTAAAGAAAACACTGAATTTGCCAAGAAAGAAGTATGTATGACTGTTAAAAACCAAAAAATGTAAATTATAATTAAAAATTCTGACAGAGAATTGGATGATGCTTTTCTTCAGGTAACGATCTGTTTCGCTGATAGCCTTAAATGGTGTCATATCCCCCTGCATCAGTGTCGTGGTTGTCTCCCAGAAGCTGTTAGAAATTTACTTTTTATCGAGTTTTATGCCACATTTTCACCATACACTTTTTAGTGTCTACACTTTTTTTAACCAGATGAAAGATTTCGAGTCATTCGAATTTATTTAAGTTTAAGTGTTTGTGAAGTGGTGTGGGGAGAACCACCTGCAGCTTAACGTGGCAAAAACAAAGGAGATGGTGGTGGATTTTAGGAGGAACAAGCCCCTGCCCTCTCCTGTCAGCATCAGCGGGATCGATGTGGATATGGTGTCGGTGTATAAGTACTTGGGTGTCACACTAGACAATAAACTGGACTGGTCCACAAACTCAGAGGCCATCTACAAGAAGGGCTGGCTTTACTTCCTGAGGAGGCTCAGGTCCTTCAATGTCTGCAACAGGATGTTGCAGATGTTCTATCAGTCTGTTGTGGCGAGCACCATCTTCTTTGCTGCGGTGTCCTGGGGTACGGGCATCAAGGCAAAGGACGCCAACAGACTGAACAAACTCATCAAAAAGGCTGAATCTGTTGTTGGCTTGAAGCTTGTCACCCTGGAGGAGGTGGTGGAGGAGAGGATGCTGGCAAAACTGCTGGCAATCATGGACAATCCCTCCCACCCCCTCCTCACAACACTGGACAAGCTAAAGAGCAGCTTCAGCAACAGACTCATTCAACCACGCTGCTCTAAGGAACGATACAGAAAATCGTTCCTCCCCTCTGTTATAAGACTTTATAACTCATCTGCCTCTGTCAGATCCACAATCACAGAACTGGACTAAATCTACCTGTGGAACATATACTATCATATGTGATATGTGTTAATATATACCATGTTGATATTATATATCATATTTCTACAATATATTATTATTATATTAATAATATATTGTTATTACTATTATTGTTATTATTAAATGTTATATATTACAATTATTACTACTATTATTATTATTATTATTATTATTATTATATAACAATATATAAGATATTATCTATTGTATGTGTATCTTCTTGTATAGTCAAGTATCTATTATACATATGCTATATATCATATCATATCTTGTGTATATATATGTGTACATATTATATATATATATATATATATATATATATATATATATATATATATTTGTGTATATATATTACAGTATGTATGTATGCACACTTTGCACAGGCTGAATATATGACACATGTTTACATTATATCAATATTAATGTATAATATCTATGTCTACATGTATATCTATTCAGTCATATATACATATTATTATTATATATTATAAATATTATTAATATTATCATTATATACTGTTATTATTATATACTGTCATTAACAATAACACTACCATCATGTCATCAGTACTATTACCACCATCTTGCAACTAAAACCTTACCTACCTTTTTATCTTTTATCTTTTTTTATATTTTCTATCCAAGTACTTTATTCTATTGTTGTATTTGGTTCTATTGTATTTTATTGTATTTTAATGTACCTGGCTGCTCCATAACGACCCAATTTCCCCTCGGGGATTAATAAAGTTTTTTTAACTTCTAGCTATCTCTATCTATCTATCTATCTATCTATCTATCTATCTATCTATCTATCTATCTATCTATCTATCTATCTATCTATCTAAGTTATCAGAGAAACAAGCTTAGCTAACGTTAGCAGCTTGGCTCACAGCCCCTGTTCCATTGGACTGCATTGGAGAAACACAGATTTTTATTAGACATTGTATCAGACACAAATTCACATTTAGGAACATTTGTTTAACGAAAGTGAAACATTATACATGTGAAACATTTACATATAGGTACTGTAAGCCTATAAACATTATTATGATTGTTTTTTAAGGGAAACATAGTCCATCATTTTATAGTAAGGCAGCTACTGTCTTCATATTAACATGTCCATTTATGACTAACCTTAACTCTCCTAAAACCCTGATTAAAGATTAAATTATGCAGTATTAAAAACTTATTTCATTCTGAAGTCCCTCTTATATCCCCGTCCTCTCTTTGATTCCTCCTTGAGTACAGGGAAAGGTCATGTAAGGACGGGGACAAAGAGAATACATAAAAAAATCAGACAGGAATTATGACCACTGGGCGGATTTATGAGAAGGCAGACCATTATAACATCAAGCAGCTTAAGAACACGTCCCCACCAACACTGTTTTCACTTCTCAGTGCCCCCCACCATAGTCATCATCCTGATAACACTGCAGCTGCTGAAATAGCAGCCAGGAGGCAGCGTTAAGAGCAGGAGGAGAACTTCTAGAGAAGGAGGGTTAGACATGAAATGTAGTGGTGCGTGTGTGTGTGTGTGGGGGGGGCACACTTTGCAAAGGCAAATTACACAGTTGGATGACCATATTACAGTCTGGCTTCAGCAGATGGGAGAGGCACTTATGAGAGACATAATGGTGGTAAAAGACCCACAGAGAGGAGTCGCATTCATGCATCACATGACTTATGTCAGAGACATACTTTTTGGTCAAGAACACACTGTGACTTTAATGGTTGCATTTAAAGCTACTGTTGCTCATACTTCAGGCATATTAGACAGTCACATCTTGGTCATTTAGCGTGGGAAGGCATCAGTTCCAGGACAGCTATGACAGAAGCTGCTGGCTTTAACTTCTGTCTGATATTCATAATCACCACAGGATGACTCTTGATGATCTGAGTGACCTTATGGCCTTTCCTCTGACCAACACTTGACAATAATATCTTGGTATAATGTGATGGCAATGTATCTCTGGTTCAGTTAATTTGGTCCAAACCTTGGGATTACTGAATTACTGCCCTGCGGTTGTATGCCTTCAGAGACTAGCTGCAGTTTGTGCTGCGCTGGCCGCTACTGACTTGACTTGACTCAATACCGCTCTGGACTTCAATTCAATTCAATTTTCAATTTTCAATTTTCAATTCAGTTTTATTTGTATCTCAGGACACTTTTCAAATGGAGTAGGTCTAGACCATACTCCTAGTCCTATTAGAGACCCAACAGTTCCCACCATGAGCAAGCACTTGACGACGGCGGCAAGGAAAAAAATTTTAAGATGCAGAAACCCCAGGCAGAGCCCGGCTCTAGGTGGGTGGCCAGCTGCCTTGATCAGCTGGGGTTAGAGAGAGAGAGCAGGAGAGAGGGGGCTGGGGGGGTGTAGTGAGAAAGAGGGGTGATGGGATGGGTGGTAAAGAGAGAAGGACAGAGACAGAGATAAAGGTGCACAGCAACAACAATAGCAACAACTATATTAGTAGAAGTAACTAATGATGATGACAAACGCCACAACGATGAGGAATAATAATATTAATAAGAAGAAGAAGAAGAAGAAGAAAAAGAAGGAGAAGAAGAAGAAGAAGAAGAATGAAAGTCAAGCAGGACCACGGCAGCAGGCACAACCAGGATCCATGAGAACCTGTGAGACAAGAAAGTACAAAAACTCTGGAGAAGAAGTGAAGTTAGTAACATGCATTAATGGAACATGAATGTAGGCCTATAGCAGCATAACTAAGGGATGGTTCAGGACTCACCTGATCCAGCCCTAACTATAAGCTTTATCAAAGTGGAACGTGTTAAGCCTACTCTTAAATGTGGAGAGGGTGTCTGCCTCCCGAACCCAAACTGGAAGCTATAGGAACCACAAGTAGCCCTGCATTTCAGAGAACATAGTTTTCTAGAGGGGTAATAAGGTACTATGAGCTCTTTAAGATATGAAGGTGCCTGACCATAAAGAGCTTTATAGGTGCGAACAAGGATTTTAAATTGCAATGCAGAGAAACTAATACAGGAGAAATATAATGTCAGTACTCGTGCTGCAGCGTTCTGAATCAATTGTAACGTCTTAATGGACTTATTGGGGCAACCTGATAATAAAGAGTTGCAGTAATCCAGCCTAGAAGTAACAAATGCATGGATTAGTTTTTCTGCATCTCTCTGTGACAGGATGTGTCGGATTTGCAATGTTATGTTAAGTGAAAAAAGGCAGTCCTAGAGGTTTGCTTTATGTGGGAGTTGAAGGGCATATCCTGATCAAAGATAACTCCAAGATTCCTGACAGTGGGGCTGGAGCCCAAGGTAATGCCATCTAGAGTGACGATCTCTTTAGATAATGACTCTGGACTTGGTCTGGACTAGTCCTGGCCTTGGACTCGACAAAGATGGTCTGAACTACAGAACCGGTAACAGCAAGAAGTATCAATAAAAAAGTAAGCTATAATAAATAAGCAAGTAACAGTTGAATTCACAATTTTGCACATAGGAAATACTGATACATTGATAAAGAGGAAAGACTCTAGTCATGAGCCCATCATCTTAACTCTTTCCTGTATAGTGTGCAGGTTTCTTTTGGTCTTTTCCAAAAGCCAATTTAAAAAAAAGAACTGATATTTGATATTCCAAAAGTTTAGGATATGGAAAGGTTTTTTTCATGAATGAAGAGTTGTACCATAATTAAATGTCATAATTCCTTATTTTCTCCTAATCACTGAAGTCAGTTTAATAAACCTGGTCCATGATAGCAGATCATTAGCTGATATCGCTGAAGACATTCTTTGTTAACATAATTACTTAAAGTCTCACTCATCAAGATAACTCTTTCAAGCACATCAGGTGAATCAGAAGCCCTCCACAAAAACCTTATCTTTCAGACTGAAATCCTCCTAAAAGCCTCTCTGCTTTTCTCTGTGTTTGACAGACAGCTTTAGAGGAGCTGTGGCAGTATCATAGTGGAGCGCCAAAATAGTTTCACAGCTTGAGGACGCAAGTGCAAATGTTAGGCCACCTCTGTCTAAATCAAACGCATCTTTATTCCATTCATGCTGCAGACAGTCTGAAGCATGAATACTAATAGAGAGCCACCCTGCTTTGCATTGCTAATGTGGTCACAAAACTTTAAAACTATGAAATAACTGAATGTGCAAATCAGAAAATCTGAATGATCTTTGATTAAAATGAATGTGCTTGTGTTACACATTCCATACTTTATATTGCTCTAATATGCAGGATTGTGCTGATTTATTTAGTCCAGAGGAGGCTAATGCCACACTGAGGGAGAGTTATGTCAGTGTAAAATATTCATTTGTGGGACAGACAGGACTTCAAAGCAAGCAGAGCAACACCGCAAGCCATATTTAAATGAATCAGTCCCAAGCAGTCACAGCGTCCAACCAGGACTTCAGTCCTCTTCTGCAGTGAAGGGCAGCTGACTCAGGTTGGTGTATTTTAAGTCTATGTTAGGGGCACAGATGTCTTGAGTTTCCTCTTTTGCCCCCTGACAACTTTAACCCTGTATCCCAGTATAGCCTTCAGAGTTATGGGATAATTAAAGGGGACTTACACTCATTTATGCATTTGAAAAGCAATATTGGATTGAAATCAGCAAAAAATGTATAATACTGTACTGTATAAATAAAACTGGAACAACAGAAAAGAGGCCAATTATGCATAACTTTCAGCCTTACTATAAGTTATATAAAAATCCACCCCACGTACAGTTATCATGAATGGGAAACATTTTTTTAAAAACCGTTTTCATGAGGGGGGTTCTGGAGATTGACTCACTTCTGTAGCCAGCTTCAAGTGGCCATTTGAGGAACTGCAGTTTTAAGCACTTCTGCGTTGGCATCATTTACCAGCCGTGGAGGTCACCACTGGTGTCCAACCCACAGAGAATTATCCAACTTTGCAGTTTCCTTCAACTCTTTTTTAGGCTCTTTTAGCTCATTTAGCTCCTCACACTGTTTTTGTTCATTTTCAAAACTTTTATTTTCGTCCTTTGCAGCAGCAGGAGGCAGCTGTTTTCAGTGTAAAACCTCTGATAAAGGAGTTGGTGGAGACCAAACCAGAGAGAGAAGCATCATCCAGCATCTGCTGGATGCGCAAATAAGTAGCTGTTTGATAACAAGTTCACCATATAGGGTAATAATAGGTCAGTGTTGTGTTTACAGCTTGTTTTGCTGCCCCCAGAGGTCTGGAAAAAATCAATTAATGCTGCTGTAAATTGAATTCCACCATTTCCCCCTGTCTTGGTTATAAGTAAGACCACCGACATATATACAGTTGTACAACATGACAGCTTCCTTAAAAAGAAGCCGGTTGCAGTATAGTTTATAAACCCTGCCCCCTCCATGTTAGCAGATGGGACATTTATTTGTTTAGCCAAACTATGTATGTTAATGTTACAATTTTTCTTATAAGTTTTGTTTTTATTAGTTATTTGATGCTATCAAAAGAGTGTTTCACATGATGATTGACAGCTGACACCCTGATCCCTCCTGTGCAAAATAAGCGTCGTTCATCTTTATATATGTCGCTGTTCAAGACCAGCAAGACCCAATTCAAGTCAAAATCCTACACTTTGTGTTGCAAGTCGTAAGCTGGAAGCATGAATGTGCTTGGAAAAGACCAGCAAGTGACTTTAGGCCTAAATCTCATGAAGATCAGTAAATTATGTCCTATCTGCTCATCTTTGTGTTGCAAGTCGTATACTGTTTTACGACGTTTAAACATGGGTTTGAGAGCATGAATGTGTTTCATAAATCAATTTCATGGAAGTTTGAAGATAAGTTGCCATAGACCACAGGGAAATTTTCACCTGATGTGGACTGGGTGAAAGGTCAAATAGTTTGGAAGTCAATCCTGGTCCAGTATTCAACTTTTACAAGCATGATATAGAAACATGAAGCCACCAGTACACATACACTGAGAATGAAATTAACAGTGAAGTAGGAGACATCTTAGGTCCAGCAGGAAAACTTTAGAAATGAACACAATTTGCATATTTTTAGATTCTTGAATTCTTAATGAGGTAGAAGGAAGTAATAGGAGTAGATTTCTTATTAAGGATTTTAATATGGAAATTATACTTTTTGTCTGCAGAAAAAAACATATCAGACACACACCACTGTTCCAACCAGACTATTTTTATATTTACATGTCTGGACTTTTTATTTTATTTTACCTAAATGTATTTCATTAACCGTATGTTGCTTGATTTGGATTTTTTTTTAGTTCATCATACCTGTCTTTATCACCACACCCTTCCTCAAACATTATTGGTTGATGTGCGGGACGGCTTCATTTTCATTGGCTGCATTTTGTCAACACGCAGCTCCTGTCATCCAACTGTGTCAAGGTACATACAGTTAGGTCGAACATACAGGAAGTTGAACAGTTAAGTCTAAAACGTGTTAATAATTAAATAAAAACCGGCACTTCGGTTACTTAATTACAGCAAAAATATTAATATTTTTTCATCTTGAACATATTTATCGTGACAAAAAACAATGACATTCTCTCGCGGACTTGGAGTTACTTATTAACATCGCCGTGGAGACGTTAACATGTTTTATTCTGAAAGTCCTGACCGGATATTATTTGGACACTGATACTGTACCTCTTCCTGGTTGATGTGGACACAAGGAAGAACTGCTGGGTGAGGTCTGCTGTTGTAGCTGAGTAAATAATGAAGAAAACCTGCGAAGTTGAGTGAGAAAAGCCATGGAATTGATCAAGTTAGTGAGGTTTTAAAAGTCTCTTTTATTCCGGACCAGCAGACAGTCTTTCCGGAGCTTCTCTTGTTCCGCTTCCCTTCCATACCTCCAGTGTTGCGGTACATCTCCCATTAGCTCACTATGGGTTGTTAGCTGCTAACCAAAGTCGCTAACGCTACGTGCCAGTGCTGTGCACCTGTCACCAGCTTCTTTGTCTCACTCATGTCGGTGGCTTCATTACCTATTGTCTGTTAGTTTGCCGAACTTGTTAACAGAAACGTTAGCCACTTTTGTCTGCTCACTTTAACCAAATGTTGAAGGCGTCACTGTCCGAAAACAGTCTGCACTGCCAAAGCTAGACAAAGAAGATGAACTGACGATAACTCCCTCCGTCCAGAAATGTACGATATGAACTCTGTCTGCGTCCCACTGGATATTTATGAACACAAATAGTCAGCTAGTCCCCGAAAATATACAAAAATGGCGTCCTCCAAAGTAAAGGTCGGAGTCAACAGTGAGACCAACTCCCTGAAAGAAAGTAAAAGCAACGCCAGCAGTTCAGCTGGAGAGGCTTCACCAAATAACCGGATATATTGCCTTGATGACCTGGAGACCATTGCTACAGTTGGTGAGTTACAAGCACATGAATGACTGTTTGTACATACAGAAGTCCCCAAACTTCAAGACAGACAGAACAGTGAAATACTGGAGATTATGCATCTACTGTATTTATATATATTTAATAACAAAACATAGGAGAAGATAATGCAGTAGGCTTACATATTGAACCTCAGAACTGTAGTAATGACAATCAAAATAGTTCAAGCAGGATTGTAACTTCTTATAAGTTTCATTATTAAAAAAAGGTTAAGAAAGAATTCCACTTTACAATGTCCCAAGTTGACATATTGGATTTGTTTTGTCCAACCAACAGTTAAAAACCCAAACAGATTTAGTTTTCTTTCATAAAACATAAAATCAGCAATTATTCACGTCTGAGTGGCTGGAATTAGTGAATGTTTGTCATTTCTGCATGTGAAATGACAAATAATCAAATCTTGATTAGTAATCTGTCAGTGCTTTTCTTGTTTAAACTATCAATCATTTGATCATTACACGGTGACAACTGCCCATGACAATTTAACCTAAACTCCAAGGTGGCGTCATTGCATTTCTTGTTTTGATTTCCCAACAGTACAAAACCAAAATAAATGTAATGTAAGACAAGGAAAAGCAAATTCTCCTGTTTGAGTCGCTGGAACCAGAGAATGCTTGAGAAATGACTTCAAAATGTCAAAGCATGGAAATTTGTCATTGAGTGTCAGATTCTTATACTTGTTTATGTATTTTTTAATATGATATTTCTTAATTAAATTGTGGCATTTAATGCTGTTGCTTCTGGAATATTTTATTTCAGGTTGTCCACGGGGTCGTAAAGGAAAAATAATCTGAATTTAAGGCATTAAATATGATTTTGACAGGGATTCATCAAATTAACGTTACTTGCATAAAGTTGGATTTTTCAGTCTAGTTTTTGGGAAGATTTGTATCCATCATGCTGCAACAACTACAAAAGGAAAGCAACCTGGAACCAGTAGCGATTTTCCTTCATATCCTGGTATTTACTTTACCAGTATGGACGTAAAATAGTTGTTAAATTGTTGTTAAATCTTAAAAGGTCTTTAAAAGTCTTGCTGAAGACCTGCAGAAACCCTGAATCCAGATTTAGATATCAAATTGACACTTTCCCAAGGAAATTGCACACAGAAGTTAGTTGTCAAGGCCAAATCACACATTCACTTTTCATTTTGCACAGCTTGACAGCTTGGTAATTTAAGAAACCTGAATCACTTTGAACCAAGAAGTGACAATCTATAATCACATTGCATGTAGGGCTGGACAATAAACAAAATGATCAAATTACAACAACTTTTACCAACCTTAATCAGTTGAAAAGTCTAGTCCAGAATTGAAAATTGGGTCGCACTGTAAATCAGTTCAAACATCACGTACAGACATATTGAAAATACATGTCATATTTGGTGGTATTGAGATAAATGTGACAGCTCATTGTGCTATAGATTTTACATCCTATCATCCAGCCCCGGCTGCAGGAAGAATCTGAGCTGATATGCTCATATCAGGATATCAGTACTTTATCAATATGTCACCCAGTCTCAGCTGACCTACTTCGTCCTTTATCTTCTGTACACTTAGTTTGGTGCTGCTGGTTGAGGTTGATCCACCACAATCGTCTTATAATGTTGTTGTGTGGAAAACCGCTCATCCTGCGCTCTGATCGAAATACTGCAGGGCAACAAGGGAGACATTCAAATAAAGTATACAAAGTACCACAGGGTAGTTAGTGTTTTTTGCATGCAGTGTTACATTCAACAAAACTAATTTTAGATCACATTTTTAACATTTGAACTCTTCCGTCTGCATTCTCATTATGGCATGAGGAAGCATTCACTGCATCAAAGTCATGATACTGTCACTATTTTTAGCTGTTTCAAAACCTGATAAATTTGATGGTATCTATTGGTCATGTTAAGTATATATATTAATTTAATTGAGAATAAATCAGAACACAACCTGATTACCATGGGCGTAACCTAACTAGTTTGGACGTTAAGTCACAACTAGCGCACGTGGCCAATCAACAGCTAAGATAGATTCCCATCGCCATGGTTACCGTGCACATTAGCTGTCTGGCTGGCATGAGTCACTTGGCTTCGTAAGCACATTGTAGAAACCGTAAATGCTGACATCAGTGGCTTCCAGGTTTACTCCCGTACAACAGAGTACGTGTGTGACGTCTATTACTGTTCTTTTGCACATGCGTATAAATTCAAGACCCTGACCTGTTCACACTGGAATCTCATATTGGTTACATTTAAAAAAAAAAAAAAAATCAGAATTGAACATAGCCTTAGGGCTATATTTGCATAAATTCGGATATGACAAGCTGTTTCTGATTTAGGACCACAGATCAAAGTGGTTTTGGTTGGATTCCATGTAAAAAACTGATCTGAGTCACATGAGCCAAAAAAAAGGGGATTTGGGTCACTGCAGTGTGAACGTAACCAATATTTCATTTTTTTAAGGGCTAAAAAGAGCACAATTCCTCATGTCTTTGATGAAACCAAGCAGTGAATGTTTCTTCTTTGTATGGCTTTGTATGGATAATTTAACACTTAAAATTGGGAGTTTAACATCTGGTGAATCCAAACCACATGATAACCCATCAAGAATAGTTTTGCGTGTGTTGTGTTTTGTGCTGTTTTCATCATCATGGAGAACTCCAAACAGCAACGACTCAAGCCTGCAGCAGCGAACCAGTTCATATTTTCTCAAAACTCAGTGCTCGATAGATCAGTTATTAGCAAAATTCACGGGAAGACAATGACTGCTCAGAAACAGCCTGAAGTCATGTTCCATCTGTCAGGGGTGTGTGCTTTGGCCAATGTTAGTCCATGTTCAGACAACGACCTGCCCTTCAGCGACTTAATCATCACTGTTTAACTTGTCCAAAGTTTGAGTCACACCTACATCATGGGATTACACAAGCTCTTACTCAGCGAGGATCTTTTATGAGTCGTCATTAAAAAAAATAGGAATAATCTGCCCAAGGAAGATATGTAAGGCAAAGAGCACAAATACAGGGTCATATTTAATTCTTACTCAGTTAATTCTAACATCAAAAACAATGACACATGCCACCCATAAGTTACCAGATTTCACAGATGCCTCAAGACTAAGTTGGTATTTACAATTATATTATATATATTTATATATATAAAAAGTAATTTCCCCCCGGGGATTATTAGAGTATTTCTGATTCTGATTCTGATTATATATGAGAGTTAAACAGGACCTATGTTACATGTTCTGTTGAGTTGTGCGCTTACATTATCCCAAATGTTTCCAACAATGTTCAAAGAAATGTCATTTTATTCAGGTAATTCATTTTTTACTTGACTTGTTGCTGTAACGTCCGGGGTATGTCAGAGAGTGAGGAAGGAAGTCGGCGAACGTGACAAAACTGAAACATAATATGAATAAAGAAGAATTAAACTTAATACACATTCCTTCCATCCACAAGTTTGTCATGATAGCAGAATTTTAAACTTACTAGTGTAAAAACACGATAATTCGTACCTATTTTGACACAGTAAAAAGGAAAAAGTCCTAGGCACACAAAATAGTATAATCTTTTTTCATTAAAATTTTATTTAACTTTCGGCACATAGAAAAAGTCACTGAGCACATAATTGGAACCAGCGGATTGTCTCTCCCATTGTTTCATCTGTGCAGCCTTTGGTTCAAAATCTGATTGTCGATCTGGTTTTTTTTTAGCTTCGGTACTTTTCAAACCATTTGAATAATAGCATTAAAAAAGTATGCTTAAGTCCAAAAAATTCACTTTTAGATTTTTATTGGGAATGTGGAATGAAGAGTAGTGATTGGTCAGCAGATCTAAGGACTTTGGGCGTAGAATAGGGCTTGAGGAGATCAGGAGCCAAAATAATTGTGATACACGATATTATCACGATAATTATGAAAATATACTTCATACTTCATATGCATTAAAACATACTGGAATCACTTTAAACATTTTGTTAAACATATATATTTATGCATCACAGATAGATAGATAGAATTCAAGCTATTTCCACATCTGGTTTACCTTTTTTTGTGGGGGATACAACGGGCAAGCCGAGCCTTCAACCAAGGTGACAGGGTTAAGATCTTGTAATGACTGGAAAGATGCGGACTCCCCAAAGACCTAAAAATAAATTAGGAAATGAACATAGGACTGTGTGCTGTGAGCTAGAGCGCTTTTTCAAGTCAAGCCATGTGAAGATATTCACGATTATCCCGATTCACGATGATCACAAAAGTGTTACCACGATACGAGATAATATCGTATATCGTCCAATCCCTAGTCACGTATTTTGTTCAAGCCCTTTTTTGTACACTTCCAAAGCTAGTTTAGGAGGTAAAATGCCAAATGATTGAAAGGAAATGCAAATTGTTAGAGACTGTTAGAGACATTTTGGTATTGACAAAACACATGACTGTAGAAAAATGTGGAAGAGCTGCTCGCAGTGACTGACAGTCAGTCAGGCGCACAAGCACATGACATTGAGCTTTGTAAGTAAAACAATACATAATAAATAAAAACAGCATAAGTTCTCTGCCTGGAGAACAGGACCCATCTATCCAGTCTTTTGCCCTCTCCATCAACATCAGTGCTGTGTTTTACAGTTGACAGTGTAACAGTGCTGCAGAGTGATCATAAAAGGCCAGATGGTGATGGAATTGATAGCAAACACTACAGAGTGATGACACTGCATCGCTCAAACCTTTTTCATTAATAGTAATAGTTTGATTTTGCGGGCAGATTTAACATACACTGTGATTTATGATCTCATGCCGCATTCTTTATGGAAGACATCTAGCTCAATAATGTGCATTAAGCTACGTGCGGGCAACAAAGCCTGAGCTTAATGCCTGTCAGGGAGGTGTGCAGCAGGGAACGGCATTCATCCTGTGCTGTTGGGAGAAATCTCCAAGCTCATGAGCCCTGCATAAAAATCCAATTTGCCAAGCCATTTTGTCTGA